TTCATTGCAGCACAATTGTCATAAGACATTTAAAGTACGCGACAATTTTTTTTAAATGCAAACATGTTTCAGCATATTTTATGCGATTTTCAGAGCAAAGTAAATTGGAATTTACAAGGGTACAAAACAGTATATATAGTGCTATGCGATAAAATTGAAGTATCTTGACTATGTTTGCATAACACCTTATTATGTTAGAATGACCTAAACTAATTAAAATAATTGCAATAACCGTAATAATACATTAATTATAATAATTAAGAATTAATATAATAGCACGTTTGTAGACGTAGATCGTCCAGGTTGGTATAGTCCTGAGAAGGACTATATTTATTGTTGTTCACTGACGCTTCGACAACCTGAGCGGTAGTCATCTTCATAGTCAAATGAGGAGTAAACTTTAGGTTAGCAGTATTTGTTATCTGGTTCTTACTTCATTGTATTGTGTGTACAGGAAATGCGTGGGTGTCAATTGTGTATTATCATTGTGAATTAGTGTTAAGTGTAATAATTTTATTTGATAGTTTGTTTGTATTGTGAATAAGTCGTTTGTAAGGTGCCGGTAATACACCACTTTGGCGGTTTTATTTGAATAAAAACACGTGCTCTCTAAGTGAAAAACTCGGACAAACATGGCGGAAGTCATAACCATGACTAATTTGTTATATGAAATAGAAATATGTTTCGCTCTCTTGCAAAATAAATTTTAACATTTCTTTATTTCAAAATATAAGCTCTCAAATGGAAGAAAGGTTACGTGAAGAGAAATTCAAAGCTATGAAACTGCCAGAATTAAAAAGTTACCTGCAGAGTAGAGCAGTGGCGTGCGGTCATGCAAGCGTAGGCAAGCGGCGCTTGCCTAAGCATTTTACCGAACAAAAATTTTTTGGATCAATCTCTGAGCAAAATCAGTTTAAATTTTTCTGTTCTAAACAATGTCAATGTAATCTTTTGTCTAAATTCTCTTTACAGTTGAAATGCTTGCTATTTATACGCGATTTACTGTCGTGGTTTTCGGTTTTACTTTGCTACACTTGTAAAATGAGTCAAGTGGATTAAATACACCTTAAAAATTTCTTACTTATTAACCAAGGCAAGCACGCTTGCCTTCGGAGCTCAATTTGAACATTTGCGCATGCGTTAATCTAGATTTGGAGGCTTCTTATTCGAGGAATATTGAGAAAAGGCAAGCGGCGCTTCTAAGGGCGCCGCTTGATAGCGATTTGTCAACAGTCTTGTACGCTCGCAATTTTAAACACATATCAGCGCACGAATAATATTCGTATATTCAACACATTGGACATCCGAATTATTCACGCCGTTAATGTTATCGTATATTAAAAGATGACTGAGAGCGAAAGGTAATGTACTGATTTCTAATTCAAAGTAGTAGTAGATTTCTAATTTATGTATGTAGAAGATATTATCTGTAGCATGTTATACTTTAGCGTTATATAAGTCTTTCGTATGAGCTCTGAACGTGATTTCAATCTACTAGAACGCTATTAAATTTTGTGATTATTTTATTCACTAGCGAAGAAGTTATTTACAACAGTCGTGAGTATTCTATACGTTAGAATTTATTTACAGGCTTTTTATATATTTGGATAAACAAGGTGCAGTTATTACACAGCGGATAATGTACTTGAAATTTGAGTAGTTTTACGTAATTATAAAATTAAGTGCGTAAGTTTAAGTAGCGCGTTTGAGTAAGTGTAGGATTGGCTATTTCCTCTATTGCTAATACATAAATCTAGATGAATAATATACGCACGTTATGTACGTCACTACAATACAAGATTATGATATTGACAAGAGCTTCCTTTTGCGTAGTAGTTTTGATATTTGTATCCGGTAGATATCATGCAACTGATGTAAGGTATAAATAAGATTGATGTTCCCAGGGGCGGATTTAAGGGTCATCAAATCCATCACGCGACGAACGTATGAAATGGTGATTAATTATTCATGCAACATACTAAAATTAATAAATAATTAAGTCAACTATCACATATCGTAAGCCAAACGAAAGCATAACGATCAGAATTAATTAATGGCCTGAGTGTACAGCCGTTTTTTTAAGGAAAGCTGTGTAATTAGCCTCAAATATGATCTCAAGCCCACAGATCCATCAAAAAGTCAAATCTTAGTCTTCTCATTGGTCAATTCGCCTATTGCCATGGAAACTTGCAGTTTTGATGTATCTGTGGGGAGGCCTGATGGATTGACGACTTTCAAGGGCTCTAACAATCATATTTTATATTATCGACTAGTATTTTTACTTTGTTATTTTACGCTATTTGATACTTTGACTGATTCACAGCGGGGGGTCATTTATTTTGAAGGTCTTATCTTTCGCTACATCGCAAAATTGCAATCACGCTTTGTTTAAAAAAGTTTCAGTTGTATCTGATATGGATTACGGTGTTGTTCAAGCTGCCTTTGCGGCAGATGATTGTAAAGTTTTGGCAGGTTTTTATGTTGATCTTGCCAGGCAACTAAATGAGCAAGATGAGATATCGCTTGAGCAACTATTGGGTGCCATAAGTAGCTCGTCAAACAGCATTAGCAGAAATTATTGCGCGGAAACTTATATTCCTTTGGCTGTTCGAAATCAAAAGGAAACATCGTGCATAGCTTTGAGGTTAACTATATATTTTGTACAATTTTTCTCATATTTCACTTACAATATGTAAGAATGTAAATATGCATACAAACGGTATTGATGACTTGCCTTGTTTACGTTCGCACGGTTTGCTGGCAGGCAGATAAATCTCAAGGGAAGTTAAGCATTTTTGCTTAATTGTGCTGTGTTTCCAAAACGAAAGCACTATACAAAGTCTGCTTGCTATAAGTTGCCAGCAAAACGTCTGGTTGTATATTACAGGTCACTTGTGTTGTGTAAATCTCATCAACCTTTCAACTTGCTGATTTTTGTGGTTTTAGACTCTCATTTTAAAAACTTTATGAATGTACAGTGAGATAAACTTGTCAAATTTTCAGTTCAACCTGCTTGTTGATTATTCCTTGATTCTTTATAATTCTACTATTAACTATCCTATTTGAATTACTTATATTCATTCCCTGCTTATAGTTGTCAGCACTATTACACATTTCATATAGAGAATGTAGATTTTGTCAATATAAAAACATAAAGTAAATATCATATTTACGCGAGATTTTATTGTCAGTTAGCTATTTTATTACTCAATAAAACTAAATAAGATTATAACATGATTATATAATACATTTATCAAATAATGTCATATATAGAACATTTTGGAACCAAACCCAAAAATTCTTTCATCGTCAGCTTCATGTATTTTCTTGGATCAGAAGCTTCAGGGAATTGCTTGTACAGTTCCGTGTCTTTGTCTCTGCTTGGTGATGATAGATTGGTTCCAACTTTAAGAATCTTAACCTCACTTGAGCTTTTCCTGAATGCTCATTTTACTGTGAGCATCCCTGCTTTTTGTCTGCCATTGAAGAGCATCCTGATTTTTTAAGAGAAGTATAAAAATCTTTTACCTTTATCTGTCTCTGTCGAGTCCTTAGATACCGGTGCTAGTAAGGAAAATTTAGTGAAGAAAGAGGCTTTTTAATTGCAATGATGGTAAATGGTCATCATTTCTTTGTATTTTGGGTCTGTCTTCAGTTTTGAAAAGATGTATTGTTACATATTATCCGGATTGTGGACAACACAGGCTCAAACTTTTATTTAATCGTGTTATTCAACCCCGCTTGCATACTACTAGGGTTGAAAAGAAATTCATATTCTATTCTGCCATGAAGGTGACATAAGAACTGGAGAATCATTTCAGCCTAACCATTTTGTCCCTCTTCTTTTCATGCAAGTGCACACAAGCGAAAGTCTGCTGACATTACACAAGCCACAACGTCAGCAAAAAAACGTAAGGTGCCTTCCTTATTTTCCAAGAAGGTGGCAAAATTTCCTTCTGGTAATATTCCAATTATTTCTAACTTTTTTACTGCATCAGAAAAACAGCCATCCAAGTTATTTGAAAAAAAGCCCAATGAAACTTTTTCTTCTGCCAAACAAGCTACTTCTTATATCACATTGAAACAACCAATTAAGTCCTCCGCTAGTCAATCTTGTCCAGAAAAGAAGTATCATTCTGTGCATAATTTTGATGTTGCAACTTACCAGGATAAAGTTAAAGGCTTAGATACTTCTGGTGTTCTTCAATTGATTAAAAATGTTTTCAGGCCTGATGAGAATTTTTCCTTTCCTAAGACCGGTGGTAGGAGCTTTAGATATGACTGGCTAAACAAATATGACTGGCTATGCTACTCCCCATCAAAAGATGGTGCATTTTGTTTGTCATGCGTGCTTTTTGGTCATCGCTTCCCTGGTAAAGCTTCTAAGATTACAAATTTGTTTTCTAAACCGGTTTCACGCTGGAATGATGCTGCATTTACTTTTAAACACCATGATGAAGGAGAAGTGGGGTTGCATGGCTCTAATTTTACGTTTTATTGATAAGAATATGGACATAAGAGAGGAGTTCATTGCCTTTCTTCAATGTAAGTGGGGATTGAGTGGAGAGAACCTTGCTAAATCAATTCTAGATAAACTTAAAGACCTTGGCTTGCCAATTGAAGACTGTCGCGGACAAGGTTATAATGGTGCGGGTGCTGTTGCAGGTTGTGTTAAAGGTTTGGCTGCCCAAATTTTGAAGCTCAACTCGAAAGCATTATATACCCACTGTTATAGTCATAGGCTTAATTTGTCAGTTTGTGATTCTTTGTCAGATATTGAGGTTAAGAAAGTACTTAACAAAATAAAAGATGTGACAAATTTTATCAATATTTGTCAAACACGCAATATACCGTTTGAGGAGACTGTACGCAATAGTTTAGAAACGGACTCAAAAAAGACTAGATTGCCAGATGTTTGTAGAACCAGATGAGTAGAACGAGTTAAAGGTTTAGACACTTTTGAAGAATTGTTTGTTCAAATTTTTGACACACTGGATAACATGGCAAAATGTGGCAGTCCCTCTCTCGCTGCTGATGCATCCTCTTTGCTTGAAGGTCTTTTTGAGTTTCATTTTATCGCCCTCTTGGTTATTACCAGAAATGTTTTTGATCTAACGCTTCCTGTTACTCAGCTTTTGCAAGGAAAGAGTATTGATGTTATGGACGGGATTGAGTTGATCTCTTCTTTGAAAAGCAGTGTTGCACATGTGAGGAATTCTATTGATTCATATCATGATCAATGGTACGACATTGCTTTGACGTTAGCGGCAAAGGTTGGGGTAGAAGAATGTAAACGTAGGACAAATGGAAGGCAAACTACAAGGCCTAACGCTCCTTATCGTTCTATCTCGGAGTATTGCAAACGAATCTATACGATTCCTTTAATTGACCATCTTCTCTCGTCTTTGGATGCGCGATTTGACACGGAAAGTGTAAATGTTTATCAAGGACTAAGTATTGTTCCAACAAAAATGTTTTCTCTTATAAAAAATGGGATTGACTGGAGACATAAATTTAAGATTGTTTCAAAATTTTATGTTGCTGATTTACCCAATCAGTTAGGTTTAGATGCAGAGTTGTTATTATGGCAATCCTTCTGGGAACATTGTAAAGGTCCTTATCCAAGTAATGTAGCTACAACTTTAAAAGCTATAAATTTTGATGGTTTTCAAAACATAAAGGTCATACTTCAAATATTAGGAACCCTTCCCATAACTTCATGCGAATGTAAACGTTCGATTTCAGCGCTGCGAATTCTTAAAGATTATAAGCGGAGTACTATGGTTGAGGAACGGTTAAATGGTCTTGCTCTAATGAAAATTCATCAGGAAATTCTTCCAGATGTGCAACGCGTAATTGATAAATTTTCTGTTGGCAACACTAGATTTAAATTTAATTGAAATCATGAGAATTTTTTAAATTTTGTCTTTCTACATCTAAATTCTTTTTTAGTTTATTGATAAAATTGTTGATGTACCTATGTATAAAGGACATGCATTTAATTCTATGCAATAACCACGTTGCTGGCTTCGGCTCTTTAAAGGGCTGTCCATGTCGGATGATGCTTTGAAATTTGGGGCATCATCCTAGGCATGCTGAAGAGCCCTGATATTGGGCGAAACAGTCTGTCATCATCTGATTAAAGGGAATTCATCTTAGTTTTCGCAATTTTATGATCGCTAAAGTTTTATAAATCGCTGCATAAGATACAATGTATGATGTCATCTATGACGTCATATTTGAGGCCACATATGACGTCATAAATTTTTGACTAACATATGAAAAATCCTAGATCCGCCCCTGGATGTTCCTATAAAATATATAGCATAGGAATTCTCATCCTTTTATGTTCTACTTCTACATTCGGTATTTTCACGACACCTGTACAACATGACTGAATGCATTGTGGAATCACTGTTATCCCGCTCATTTGGATTGTGACGTTTTTCCGAGAAACGAGAGATCGTCGAAGGTGGCCGTCCCACTCCTGAGTTGCAAGGACTACATACAACATCCAAGCGAAGTGGTAAAGTCTTTATTCGAAGTTTTCCGACGTCAAATTAAGACAAGTACAATTGGCTGGCTGGCTCCTCAAAATTGAATAAGTTATTTTGCTGGCCGTGTCTTTTGTTCAACTCAACAGACAAGACAGTCTGGTGCAAGAAGGGATACGATGATTTGGCCAACCTGTGTAATGCCGTCAACAGACACGAGAAAACGAAGACACACTTGTCCAGTTGCTTAATGAATGCCAGTTTTGGGCGTGCACGCATCGACATGCAGCTAGACGAACAGGCCCGTTAACACATCTCAGCTCACAACTTGATGGTGCACAAGAATAGAGAAGTACTTCGCCGTTTCATTGATGTTGTTTGCTTTCTTGGCAAACAGGAACTTTCTTTCAGAGGTCGGGTGGAGCTGGAGGAGTCTGCCAACAGGGGCAATTACGTCGAATTGATAAAACTGCTAAGTGCATATGACCCCACGCTTGAACAGCATCTTCATACAGCAACCGTGTTTTCTGGACTTTCTAATCGTATCCAGAACGATTTGATTGTTGCTGTCAAGGACGTTATGTTGAAAGCAATAAAAGATGAAGTGATGAGGAGCCCATTTGTCGCTATTTCCCTGGATGAAACCTCCGACGTTAAGACCTTATGGCAGCTAACAACTATAGTTCGCTATGTCCACCCAAATGGTAAAGCTGTGGAGCACTTTCTTGGATTTACCGATGTAAGTAAGGATAGAACTGCGGCTAGACTGAAACAAGAAGTCGGTAAAACCCTGAACGAGTACGGATGCGGCGAAAAACTGATTGCCCAAACGTATGACGGTGCGAGTGTGATGTCAGGAGAACTGTCTGGTTTGCAAACACGAGTAAGAGAAGACTATCCACATGCTCTTTTTATCCACTGTTGCGGACACGCATTAAATTTGGTCATTGTTCAAGCTGTCTCGTCAACTAAAGAGTGTCGTATATTTTTTAAAACCGTCACTGGTCTTTCATCCTTTTTTAACGCCTCGTCCAATAGAACATACCTGTTGGACACAGTTGTCGGCAGACGCATTCCCACTGGAACAGCTGTTCGATGGCACTATCAGAGCAGGTTAATCCATGCTGTACTGGAGACAAGAGCAAAGCTGCTCGAAGTTTTCGAATACATCATCGAAAATGATGACGAGTTTGACGGTACGACGTTTAACGAAGCGAGGGGCTACCGACAAGTTCTTGCAGATTTCCAGTTTGTGTTCTGCCTTAAAATATTTTCAGAAATATTTGGTCTTACGGATGTTTTGTATAATATCATTCAGAGTAAGCAGTTCGATATTGTCAGGGGCGGATCTAGAGTATGTCAAATCCGTCGCGCGACTGATGTTTGAAACTCAAAAATTACCTATTCATATTAGTTAAAAATTCATTAATTATTCTTACTTTATTACCGCATTTACTTCGAGATAAAAATCCACCTTTATTTATTATTGAAAACTAATGACTAATCCAATGAATATCGCCTTGGTAACCAGATCAGTTGAATTTTAATTGACCTGGAATAACCGACTGATAAGCGGGGTGGCTTGACTGGTTCGACGGATAAAGGAGTCTTTGAACGCCAAAAACGCTTATTTCATTGGTCAATAGCCAGATCAGTGGACGATCTGGAATAATCTCGACCGATAAGCGGGGTGGCCGGACCTATAAGAGAGTCCACTTGCTATCGTGTAATTGGTTCGTTTAAATTTTTGTCTTGCTGTGATTGGTTTGACCTATTTCGACTGATAGCCAACTGAACTAACATAGTCAAGCTCACTGTCTGAATTGAATGTTTGATCGTTTCATACTAATTTTCTCAAGCATGATAGAAACTAAACTACAATCAGATGGAATTTATGAAAATCTTTTACAAATTCATATATTGACATGAATGCTGCTTTCCAAACTGGGAATTTTTTCAAGAGGGCGAATTATTTATGGATAAATTGTAAATGCTTGGCAAAGACGATCTCGCGAGCGACATTTCAGTCATTGATGTTCAAAAGCAAGCCAACATTGTTTGGAGTTTTATCAGCAGAAATTTACATCCAAAATCGTAAGTAAAGGACAACTGAAGTGTATGCATGAATGTAACATATCAAAGTCAATTTATGCGAGTGTGTGATGCGATTTATGTTAATATGGCGTATGGTAAGCAGATTGATGCTTCTAAAATTGTTGTTGCCGAAGAACTTTTAGCTATGATTTCTTTAGTGCTTGGGGAATCTTGACCGTTATATGGCAGCGAAATCCTACATTCCTGCAAATATATTTCAATGGACAAAAAATCTGTAGCCAGAAGGCGCCATACTATTATTTACTTTATCATAAACAAATGTTTGGGGCTTTTCAGTTTATGATCATTGATCATTCAATCATTGAACAGTTATACTACATATTGTTTAAGATTTGAGAAAACTAAATTTGATTACATGAGAAGCTGTTTACTATAACCTGTGATTTTGAGTCTTCTGATCCATGAAGCTTTTTATTTTGACAATTTGACTGGAATGGTATTAAACCTTAGTATTTCACATACATGAAATGTTGTCCCATGTCACATATTGTCCCCTTTTCTAACTGAACACCTCATGTAGAGATGTAAAGGTGTGTTAATCTACGGCTCATACCAGATTGTTTGCCATAAATTCCAAAGGACTATTGATGTATGAAAAGCATTTTCTATGAAGTAAAAATGTCTTCCTATGTATGCAGATAAACCTTGAAATTTGGCAAAACAGCAAAGTATTTTTCATGATCACTAGGTAATTTTTCAGATGATCATTATAATTTCTAAACTAAATTATTTCAGATTTACATTTAAACGAGCTTTGATCATATGAAAAGATATTTATCATAACCAGTAAGCATGACACATAAACCAATTTTAACATTCATGTAATTATATAATTAAAGACATGTTGGTTACATTCTGTTTGTATTTGATAATACAATGCTACTAGTGATTGCTATATAGCACACCTTGGAGAAGATAATAGTCAAGTGAAATGCCTAATAAAAATTTATGGTCCTTAACTGCAAATTTTCACTCTGATAATTTTTACTTAATCTTTGGCAGAAAAAAATTTTGAGTTTTTTCTCAAAAGGTGAATTTGCTAATACTGATGTGGAGATGGGTAAAGGGTTACAATAAACTTGCATGGTTTGAAGTCTGAGCTTTTCTATATCTATGAACTGTCACTTGTAGTCCCAAATTTCTAACTTAACTCATTACATAGAGGTTTGAATGGGGGTCTCTAGGGGGGTCTATGCCTGAGAACTTGGTAGAAATTTTTAAAGGATATATCTGTTTTTGAATATAGCATTATTGTAAAATAACTTTTACGTTCCTAGACATGCTAATGAGCCATATATTTGGCATAATAATGAGCCTAAATATTTGGGAAAACATTCAAGTATTGTTCACTTTATTGTTTTTTTTGAAAAAAAACGTAACCAAAATGTGTTGTTTTTACGCAAAAACGATGCCCACAAAATACATTTTGTAATGCTCTAAAACGCTGAAAATGGCATTTTTAAGGCTCTGAAATTCAAAATTTTTTTAGTGAGATAGCCTCAGAACCCCCCAGGTGCGGAGCGCCTCCGACGTTTCATGACTGATGTTTGAAAAATCCTAGATCCGCCCTTGGATATTGTCTTCTGTGTCACGAAAGTTCGCGAGACGAAAGATAAGATTCAAGAACAACGAACAAAATTCGTAGATTATTGGAATTTTACGTCAAGTATCGTCAAAGTAGCACTGAAACGCGGGCAAAGTGAAGAGGATGTAAAGGCGTCCTTCCGTCAAATGTTTTTCTGTGTAGTCGATACCATTGTCGTGCAGATTGACTCTAGATTCGAAAGTCTTAACAGCAGAGCATTGTTTCTTTGTTGGATCATTCAAAGCACGAATTGTACAGCCGGAATTTTCCCGAACGAGAGCTGCAATGGTTGCAAGATTCATATGGAACATTCTTTAATCTTCAAGCACTAAAAAGTGAACTAATCGTTGTATATGCATCTGCCTAGCTCAAATCGAAACCTGTTTTTGATATGATATCAAAAATAATCGAACTTGACTTGAAAGCCTGTTTTCCAGAGGTGTACCGATTGTGTCAGCTCATTCTTACTATGCCAAGTACGTCCTCCTATGCAGAAAGATCATTTTCGTCTCTCATACGTATCAAAACGTATTTTCGCAGTGCACAAGGGCAAGAGCGACTTTCTGCATTGGCTACAATTTTAATCGAGAAGGAGATGTTTGTAAGTTTGCAGGGGAAACCACGATTCTATGAGGAGGGTTATAAAGGGGTTTTGCGCAAAGGATAGACGGATGGAATTTACATTTAAGTAAATCTGTTGTAGGATTTTGGACTATTTCGTTCTGTTACTTCTTCACTACAATAGAAATGCACGCGTAGCCATTTATTTAAAACGACTTTATATCACAATACCACATGTAATACTTTTAAACCGTAATTGTGATATATACTCCATAAAAGTTTTTGAATTTTTTAGATTTTTTCTATACTGTTTCAGTCATGACAGATACATTTTTTTCACAAAGTATTCTAAGTAATCGAGGAAATGCGCTCCAGTAGCCTTCAAAATCCAAAAATTTTCTGGGGGAGCATGCCCCCAGACCCCCTAGATAGCTTCGCCGCAAGCCGCGAACCTCGACCCCAGCGCTTGCCTATTAAATTCGGTAACCACACGCTACTGGAGTAGAGGCATAACCTTAAGTAGTTATCTGAAGCCGGGACTAGTAGCCATTGCATGTGCAGTGGAAAAAATGAACATTCCATTGATGCCGAAAGTCAGTAAAGCCGAGCAGCAAGTAAATTTAAGTTGTCGTTTGACCATCCATGACGTTGAGCTGCCGGATCCATTTACGATTAATGTTTCAAATGATTTTAAAAATTCACCCCGTTCGGCTTGTTTGATATATGTAATCATATTATATATCATTCATCGGAATACGACAAGCAGGGTCTTGCAGCCTATAAGTTGTTCGAGAACTATCGTTTGTCTTACGATGGATAGGTTGAGTCTTTGCTAACAGCATACAGGCAAGATGCTGGGGTCCATGTTTATATAGGCAAGGTTAAGCCTGCAATGAAAGAAATGTCTAAAAATATAAAGACGTTTACGATTTATGGTTTATATTTGAAGGAAACGGGTCTCCTCGTGGCAGTGTGCTTGATGTGTATTGCTGTTGTCTTGGTAACAGAGATGGTGGATGTAAGCATGTATCATCTGCTTTGTATTCTCTTGATGATCTGCTTAATTCTAGAGGAGAGGATATTGTTACAAGTAAGGAGTGTAAATGGATTCGAAGATCAAGGCCTGATACAGCACCGTGCAAGCTAGAAGATCTTCAAATAAAAAAAGTGGGACTTAAAGATCAAGGAAGGAAAAGAAAAAGAGATGAAGAGTACAACCAATACATTGACTGTGACCCACGTCCACTTACAGATAGTGGACCCAGTTCACATGAGAAACTTGTTCGTCTAGTAAAATCATTGGATGAAATAAAGAAGAAACCACCTATACTATCCATTTTGAAGAAAGAAGTGTATGGCATGGATGAAATTCTGGAAAAGAATAAAGAATCATCCAAGCATGTAATAATGGAAAAAAAGATAATACAACACCTGCACAGCAATCACCAAGCAAATGCAGATGGCTTCTTAGAAAGTCTCCACTTCCCAAAGAAGGAGATTGAGGATATTGCTTCAGTCACTAAAAAGCAATTTCAATGTAGTGAATGGTACACCCATAAAAGAGGATTTATAACTGCCTCAAAAGCTAAGAATATTTACACAAGGCAGATTTCCATTGAGAAACATGAGACAAATGTTTCTTCTCTCGTAAAATTGCTAACAGAACAAAAAGATGTCGCAACATTGAGAAAACATTGGGTTGATGATCCTAAAAATCCACTCGATTGGGGACTAAAACATTGACAAAGTCTAGGAAAGCTTACTATAGTGTTCAAGCATATAAACATAAACAATTTAGTTTAATTTAAAAAGGCTTCGTGATTTCAAAAGATACACCTTTTTTTGTGCTAGTCCTGACAACATTACAAGTTGTAAGTGTATGCCTAAATGCGATAGTATTGTAGTGGAATATAAATGTCCATGGACCCACAAATATTGTGATCCCAAAGAGGCATTCCTGCAGCCTGAGATTGGTGGTAGATGGGAAAATGGAAAATATTTTCTTCAAGAAAAGTCCAGTTACTTTTACCAAATTCAAGTGTTCGTGCATGTTGCTGGACGGAAAAAGTGTGATTTGGTAGTCTGGACAACGAGAGGAATTTTCTGCCACCAAGTGACATATGCTCCAGTGCTCTTTCAAAAGATTTCTTTGAAGCTTAAACAATTTTGGCTTACCAAGGTTGTGCCACACATGTTCAAAAAATTCTGCATTTTGAACAAGGTATCTTCCGAATGTACACATGGTAAGCATTTAATTTGAGTGTTACCTTAGCAAATTTACTTGAAGCTAATTTGCAGTAATGTTGCTTATGATAGGCTCCACAAAAATAAAGTATGGTCATAAACAAAATCCGGTGAACAAAGATGAAAAAGAGGCTGCTTTTTTATGCAAAACAGGTATCACATATCAAGTATCAAGTGGTTTATTAAGAGCCAGGATGTTTTGTTATGCTCCTCAATTTTTTTCTTAATTTGCTGAGATGATACGGTAAGCATCTTAGAGACAGAAAACAGTGATCCGCCGATGAAGTCTGTTGTCTTATTTGGCTTTGATGTGCAACAAGAAGACATAGACAGTCTACAACCAAAGGGACTTATTACAGACAAAATCTTGTCTATATTAATGAGGTATATTCTTTCATTGCAATATTGATTGATTTTAAAATAGCAAATAGGTTAATTACACTACCAAAGTAAATTTACTAATGCTAGTGAGCTGTATAATTTCATTTCTAGTGATCACTGCTGTGAATACCAGGGCGGATCTAGAGTATGTCAAATCCGTCACGCGACTGATGTTTGAAATTCAAAATTACCTATTCATATTAATTAAAAATTCATTAATTATTCTTACTTTATTATCGCATTTACTTCGTGATAAAATCCAGCTTTATTTATTATTGAATACTTTGACTAACCCAATGAATATCTCGTTGGTAACCAGATCAGTTGGTGATCTGGAATAACCAGCTGATAAGCCGGGTGGCTTGACTGGTTCGACGGATAAAGGAGTCTATGAACGCCAAAAACGCTTATTTTATTGGTTAATGGCCAGACCAGTGGACAGTCTGGAATGGTCTCGATTGATAAAAGGGGTGGCCTGACGTATAAGGGAGTCCGATTGCTATCTTACAATTGGTTCATTTAAATTTTGTTTTATTATGATTGGTTTGACGGATGTCGACTGACAGCCAACTGAACTAACATTGTCAAGCTCACTGTCTGAATTGAATGTTTGATTGTTTCATAGAAATTTTTATAAGCGTGATAGAAACTAAACTACAATCAGATGGAATTTATGGAAATCTTTTACAAATTCATACTAATTCATGTATTGACATGAATGCTTCAGTCCAAACAGTGAATTTTTTCAAGAAGGTGAAAAATTTATGGATAAATTGTAAATGCTTGGCAAAGACGATCTCGCGAGCGACATTTCAGTCATTGATGTTCAAAAGAAAGCCAACATTGTTTTGAGTTTTATCAGCAGAAATTTACATCCAAAATCGTAAATAAAGGGCAAGTGAAATGCATGAATGTTATATAGATAAGTCAAATTATGGGAGTGTGTGATGCGATTTATGTCAATATGGCGTATGGTAAGCAGATTGATGCTTCTAAAATTGTTGTTGCCGAAGGACTTTTAGCTATGATTTCTTTAGTGCTTGGGGAATCGTGGCCGTTATAGGGCAGCGAAATCCTACATTCTTGCAAATATATTTCAATGGACAAAAATCTGTAGCCATAAGGCACCATACTATTATTTACTTTTTCATAAACAAATGTTTGGGGCTTTTCAGTTTATGATCATTGATCATTTAATCATTGGACAGTTATACTACATATTGTTTAAGATTTGAGAAAACTAACATTGATTACATGAGAAGCTGTTTACTATAACCTGTGATTTTGAGTCTTCTGATCCATGAAGCTTTTTATTTTGACAATTTGACTGAAATGGTATTAAACCTTAGTATTTCACATACATGAAATGTTGTCCCATGTCACATATTGTCCCCTTTTCTAACTGAACACCTCATGTAGAGATGTAAAGGTGTGTTAATCTATGCCTCATACCAGATTGTTTGCCATAAATTCCAAAGGGCTATTGATGTATGAAAAGCATTTTCTATAAAGTAAAAATGTCTTTCTATGTATGCAGATAAACCTTGAAGTTTGGCAAAAGAGCAAAGTATTTTTCATGATCACTAGGTCATTTTTCTGATGATCATTATAATTTCTAAACTAAATTATTTCAGATTTATATTTAAACGAGCTTTGATCATATAAAACGATATTTATCATAACCAGTAAGCATGACACATGAACCAATTTTAACATTCATGTAATTATATAATTAAAGACATGTTGGTTACATTCTGTTTGTATTTGCAAATACAATGCTACTAGTCATTTCTATATAGCACACCTTGCGTATACTTACAGAAGCTAATAGTCTAGTGAAATGCCTAATAAACATTTTGGCATTAAGCTGTCTTTAACTGCAAATTTTCACTCTGATAATTTTTGCTTAAACTTTGGCAGAAAAAAAATTTTGAGTTTTTTCTGAAAAGGTTAATTTGCTGGCACTGATGTGGAGATGGGTAAAGGGTTACAATAAACTTGCATGGTTTGAAGTCTGAGCTTTTCTATATATATGAACTTGTAGTACCAAATTTCTAATTTAACTCATTACATAGAGGTTTGAATGGGGGTCTCTAGGAGGGTCTATGCCTGAAAACTTGGTAGAAATTTTTAAAGACTATATCTATTTTTGAATAGCATAATTGTAAAAGAAATTTTACGTTCCTAGACATGCTAATGAGCCATATGTTTGGCAAAACATTCAAGTATTGTTGACCTCATTTTTATTTGAAAAAACGTAAGCAAAATGTCTTGTTTTTACGCAACAAAAGATGCCCACAAAATACATTTTGTATTGCTCTAAAAAACGCTAAAAATGGCATTTTCACGGCTCTGAAACACGAAATTTCTGAGGGGAGAATGCCTCACACCCCTCCAGGTGCGGAGCGCCTCCGACGTTTTATGACTGTTTGAAAAATCTCAGATCCGTCCCTGGTGAATACCCCATAGTAGACACTTTATTCTATTCTGTTCTTGTAGGAGATCAAGAACTAAAAGTAAGAACATCAAGCATGTTTCAGTAACTGACAATGATATTGCACTTATCTTTCAAATATTCTACTTTTATACAATGTATTTAATGTTTGTAAACTAGAAAGAATCCAAGCTGCAGAACAATTTTCAGTGCAAAGTTATTTGAAAAAGATTATGTGTTTGTGCCAATCAACAGAAGGTAAAAATGCTTTAGACAACAAATGCCGAATCTTTTGCAAAAAAATGTAAAAAAAAATTTATTCCATTATTTTAGCCTACACTGGTTTTTGGCCATCATTTCACCATGGTAGGAAAAGCAACATTTGCTATATTGCATGTGTTCCTTTAAAGAATGTAAGGTTACAATATTAACCAATTTCATATTTAGGCATATCCTTGTTCCGGACTCTTTAACTTGGGATAAAAAGACAAAAATCTACATTTGAATATATTTCACAGCAATTGTTTTTCCATTGCATTATGCCTACTCTCATTGCTATGTTACTGTTGGATTACAATTTTTACTTTTTTATTCTGAAGATATTTGGACTACACCTTTCAAAAGAAAGCATCGTTCAATTCATATGTTTAAAGTGAGATCTTATCATGCCACCAATAAAACATATTGTGCAAATAAATCTTGCTATATGCATTATTTGGTAGGTCCCACAGCAGGAAATTTCTTCAAACCTCCGTGCTGTTTTTGTATCAGTTTTTATTAATTACTTTTTGAAGGCAATTATGGAAACTACATGTTTCTTAAAGTTAGAGCTTAATAATAGGAAAGATGTACTCAATGCAATAACATAGGGAAGAGTGCTTACTTTTTCAATCTCACAACATTTTTTAGGATATTGAAAAATATGAGAAATGTCCCAATGATTTCATTGTCATGGAACATTAATGGTTCAGTAACAAGAATGCCACAATGGAAAGAAATAAATGGCACAAAACTTTGCACAGATTGTTTACTCTACATTGATCTAAATTTATCTCTTACACAAAGGAATATTTCATTGTATATTTTTTAAAACTTCTACATACAATGTTTTTAAGGTGATGCAATAATCTGTGGTTGCAAATTAACCAATGCTGCACAGATAGACACAACAGAATCAATATATGGTTTCATTGTTATTGGGATTACACCTTGTAATATACTAAATGAGTTCATTCGTTGAATAATTCTTTCAATGTGAATCCTCTTTGTAGCCACTCTCCTTGTCATTATTGTTGCACCAGTGCAAAAATTACCTTTATGCATAATTGGAGGTGAAATTAAACGGACATGTTGAAGGGCAAGTAAATCCTGGATATTAAATCCTTTGTCAGCCATGACTTTATCCCCTGCAGCTAACTCTTCCAAACTATTCACATCTCTTGATGATTTCCTTGTCGCTTATGCAACCACTGAACAATGTAGAGATATAGTTGATATATAGAAGCGGTGACATGGAAATAAATAGTTTGAAGGTGTTTCTACCTTTTTAGATACTATATGTCCGACGTTGACTTGAAGGAAGAGAAGGTTTTTGTATATAGAATTCCGTGCAATCAATTATTGCACGAAGACATGGATTAGATTCGGTTATTCCTTCCAGATTAGATGGGTTATTCCTTCCGTCTTTCAAAGTTGTAAATGGAATAAATAACTTTAATGCCTTCTCAAGAAATTTCACCCATGTCAAGAATATGCTGCTACCAACAGTTTCTGACACTCAAAACAAATCACATAACATCTTGAGAGTAGGGAATCTTTTGATCCTGACCAATGTGAATATAAATTGCTCATAAACTGAAAGTTTAGCCCATGTAGAAGTTTTGTGGATCTATAAAAATGATTAAGTGCTTATCTTCATTACACATAGGTAGCTATTGACTGCATTACACAACTAATTACTTGAGTATTTACTTGAGCAATATGTATGATTATGTATTACTGTACCCTAGCACTGCTCTTTTTTTCTTGTTTTTATTTCGCTGTTTTCTTCCCTTTCCATTTGATAAGCCTGGAAGCCTTTGCTTTCACAAACTCAAAAAGTATTTTCAACATTTCACCTGATAGGCCTACAGATAAATTAAATCAGAGTAGCTCATAAAGTCCTTTATTATTTCCACTAGCTTCCAACATAAGCAATTATATCCCGTTATAATAATCATAGTAAAAAATGAAATTTTATACCTGTATAATGGGCTGAATCATTAACCACATTTTCTAAAAACATGCATTTCTTTATAATGCTGGTGGTAACCAATGAATCAGTCGCATAAGTTTTAAGATGTTCATTAGTTAGGTTGGTTTGAACAGCAGCATCTTTTTTCTTTAAAACAAGAAGAAGTTCGTCTTCGTCATTTTGGATATCACGGGATGTTGTACTATTTTCACATAAGGATAGGAGGCCATCAGCTGCGTCTCTTTTAGCGTGTTCCCTTTCGCTCAAGCAAAGAAGAGCCTCTGCTGCATCTTTTTTGGAGATTGACGCTCGTTTTGGTGGCGGATTATATACCCTTGTCATTGGTTTTTTCGTTTTCCTGTTAGTTTTCTTCTCTATATGAATTTAAAATGAATGTATAAGCTTATAAAATGTTCAGCAAGCTTTCGTAATAGTCACACATTTATGACAAAAAAGCAGTCAACACTTACATTCTCAATACTTTGTATCGCTGAAATAGGGTCTGGGTTATCTACAGTAGGACCATTTTCTCCCACAAAATGAAGACTACAAATATAACTGTCTTTCGTACACACAAATCTGTCACCCCGATGACACGCACGAATCCAGCGCTCTCGTTTGTTGCTATGGTATTTCTCCCCAGGAAAATGTAAAAAAAATACTTTGCTTCTACTTGCGTCTCGTTTTAAACGATCAGGATACCGCGAATCGCTTTTGCAGGTTCCCCAAGGGCACCTCTTCGTCGTAACCATTGTTATAAAATTACTCCGCCATGTTTGTCCGAGATTTTCTCTTTAGCAAACACGTGTTTCCACATATATGAAAACCGCCAAAGTGGTGTATTGCTGTGATCTGTTCAGGGGGGTTTCTTCTAAGTTGGTATAAAAACTTTCTATGTAAGCCCTTGTCTTTAGTCAGTGCTGTATATGATGCATTTTGCCGAGTCCCAGTCAATGTTGTGCTTTGTGAGTCAGTGATGTTCGGTAAGGTGATTAGTTTTGTCTTCTTTTTTCGTAGCTTGTTTGTGTTCAGTAAGTGTTGTGTTTAAGCTCCTGTCAGTTTCCCCGATATAGGAGGCGTAGCAGTCAGAGCAGTTTATTTTGTAAACTGCACCTTGTCGTAACGTTGTGATTGATTTATGTGCGACACGTATGTTGTATTGTCTTAAAATACGCGAGATTGTCCCAGACGTACCTTTGATGTAAGGTATGATTGCTGTAGTCGCTGAGTTGTTCGGTTGGGTCGTTGGCTTCGTAAGTGTTTTGTTTGAAGAAGTCAGAGTTATAGTTGTTTTTGTCAAAAACACGTTTGAGATAGTTGTTTTTGTTGTGTAAAGCGTTCGTTGAATCACAAATGATTTGTGCACGTCTTGTTAATGTTCTGATTGTGGTTATTATGTATGATGTAGGGTTGTAATATGACTGGTTTAGTGGTCGGTCAGTATGTGTTGGTTTGCGATAAACTGTTATTCGCAGTTTTTGATTGTCCTGTTTCACCAATCAACGAAGAAAAGGAAGAGTTCCGTTTTCTTCGACATCTCTGGTAAATTTTATGTGGCTGTTCTGTTTGTTGATGTGAGAGGGAAAGCCATCAATCTTGTCTGCATGTAGTGCTGTGATTGTGTCACGTGGCGCAACCAAACAGGTAGTGCATGTTTGTAAGTCGTGAGCGCCTGTTCCTCTATAGATTGCATTACAATTTCAACAACTACAACAGAAAAGGGTGAGCCAATTGCTTTTCCATGTAATTGTTTGCAGCGTGTACCTTTGAACTGGAAGTAAATCGAGGTGAGGCAGAGCTCCAGTGACTCCATAATGTCTTCTGTCGGCAATGGCAGTACGTCCGTGGTATTTGAAATGAAGGTTTTTGTACAAGTATATTCCAGATTAAGTAAAAAAGTGGTGAACAACGATTTTAAATCAAACGTTACTAGTAGATAGTTGTCCAGTATTTGTATAGTGCTCATTTTTAAATGAAAGTTTGAGTGGTTTGTAGCTTGTGTTTTGATTTGCTTGTAAGTGGTTGCAGTTTGTCAGTCAAGTACTTTGATAGTTCGTAAGTAGGTGAACCACAAAATGATACAATTGGTCGCATGGGTATTTGTAGTTTGTGAAATTTTGGTAGTCCGTACAGTCTGAGTGGTCGTGTTACTGAACAACTAAGTCGATAGTAAATACGTTCAGATATAATGTTACATTTTTTCATGGAGAAGATTTTGCTATTAAGTTTGCGTATTTGTGATGGTGTTGGGTCTCGTTTGAGTTCTTCGTACGTTTGTCTGTCATTAACAAGGGTGACCATTTTGTCGAAGTAATCATTTCTTTCCATGACCATAGTCACGCGTCTTTTTGTCTCCAAAATTTCGTAAAAGCACTATTGCCAATACACATTTAATATAAACGACAACTTTTTTGAAAATAGACATGTTTCGGCATCTCATGATGCCATCTTCAGTATGAGTAAAATAATAGGTGATACAGGGTTTATATAAAAGTAATATGATACATAAATTACAATTTCGAGTGGATGTGAATCCACTCTTTTACGAAACTCTTCCGACTACACTTTGTTGATAGAATCATAAAACGATATCTCGACAACAAACAAAGCAACAACCTTAAACTGGACACCGAAACTCCTGACACGACCAACACAAATGAAAATTCCAAAATAACAACTCTATACTTCAAACTACCATACATCTGACATTACTCACGACACACACAGCGCAGACTTACAAACATTATGAAAAGCTTCTGTACAGAAACTGACATTCGACTACCTTTTACATCATTCAAAATCAAAAACCTTTTCTCATTCAAAGACCCAATCCCTGATTCAATTCAATTAATGGTGGTATATGAATTCAATTTCGAGGGATATAATTCTCGACACATTTTCGAAACTTTGCGCCATTTATCCACCAGAATCAGGGAACATACCACAACAGACAAAAACTCTCATATCTACCGACACCTTAAATCTCACTCATGTAAAACTAAGTATTCACCCTCTCGCTTCAAAATCATCGACACTGCCGACACCTCATTTTCCCTTAAAATGAAAAAAGCACTCCACATCAACAAAACTAACCCTGACCTCAATGCTTAAGTATTTAGATTCAATACAATGTTTACTTTATAATACGCTCGGACGCTCGCCATTAGTTTATCTTATTTCGTTATTATTGTTGTAATTTATGTATCATATTACTTTTATATAACCTTGTATCACCTATTATTCCACTCATACTGAAGATGGCATCATGAGATGTCGAAACATGTCTATTTTAAAAAATTGTCGTTTTTATTAAATGCGCAATGTCAATAGTGCTT